TTTCACGTAGGCCGATTGAGACAATCCAGAGCTTTACGGTCTGACGGACAAAGGAGTGAAGGACCTAGAGGTCCTAGTAGCTCAACACCTAAGGGAGGCAACCGGTTTCTCTCCCCAAGAGATTGAGGAGAGGACGAAAGCCGGAGCCACCAGCTTCGAAAGAAGAAATGAGGAAATGCGGGAGCGGCTTGGGACACAAATGCAGTCTCAAACCGATGAAGCTATGTTTGAATATATGGCACAAAATTTCCCGCCTCTGGGGATGACCACGGTAAGGTACAGATCCAAAGCGCGGAAAAGTACGGACGACTCAAATCGACCTGGGACATCCAGGGGGGAGGAGAGTCGGTGCCCAGAGGAGGACGAGACGAAAGAGCCGTCCGATTCACTCTCATAAGTCATAAGACACTCTCATAAGGTAGTAAACAGAGCCTTTATGTTTACACTGATGGATGCATTCCTCTTCGTCTGAGGAATCTCCTGTTTCGCTTTGTTTTCGGCAGTTTCAAAGCTTGAATTGTTCAAAATGCCGAAGCAAAAATTGTGCTTGAAATCGAGGCTGGAGCGTCATGTGAGGGGATTCGGAACTGAGCTTTTCACCACCGACGGAATTGTTCTCACGCGCCGAGTGTGTGGGGAGGTCATGAACACGGGGAAAAAGTACTTCGTCTAGCAGCATGTGAGTTCTCGAGTGAAGGGATCTTCAAGCGGACACCAGCACTTGCGTTTGCGGACGAACTTCTTAGAGCTATCGAACAAGGAGAGCCACTTTAGTATGGATCTCTGTCAAATGCTAGTCGAATCGAACATCCCGTTATTCGAAATCCAGAACCCTTCACTCCGGAAATTTGCAGGGAAGTATTGTAGCTCCGAAGTGCTAGATCATACATCACTCAGGAAGAACTACCTCAGGAAGCTATACGATGCAACGCTCGAGAGGATATGCGAAGCGGTCGGAGAAAGCAGTATTTGGGTTTTGGTGGACGAAACAACTGACGCGAAAGGACAATATGTAGTCAACACGGTGATTGGCACCCCTAGTCCTGAACAACCTTCAGATGCTTTCCTAATAGGGTCATAAGTAGTAGAACACACGAACCACGCATCAGTCGCTCAAACGTTCCTAAACTCACTGAATCTTCTTTGGCCCAGCGGAGTCGAACATGACAGAGTCCCACTTTTCGTGTCTGATGCGGCGCCTAACATGAGGAAGGCGGGAAACGGTTCGAAGGTAGTTTTCCCAAACATGATTCACCTTACTTGCATCGTTCACGGAAAACATCCACCATGTCTGCGAAGATATTCGTATAATGTTCCAGCAGTTGGTTCTTAGAGCTATTCGTGCTGATAACGCGTTCAGAACAAACTAGGCGGTGGATGCCTTCAAACCCGGTAATCTTCATTCTAATATATCCAAGGCTTATATAGTGTCCATCACACCGTGGTAAGGGTAAACCTTCCATCCCACTTACAAGGGGAGTGCCGAACATGTAACACGCCGATCGGGCTGGAACTTCGGTCACAGTATCCCCGCCCCGAGAGAAGTTTAACCCTAGGAGGTTATCTGCGTATGGCCACTTAAAGGGTGTTCGAATAATTATCGAAAATTCGCCCTTAAGCATTGACTACATGGGAAAACTGGAAAACACTGTGAACGATTGACGGATATTGTATCTGCCAGAGCTATACTGTCGAGAGCTCAGGTTTTTGAGTCGCTCAGCTCAAATTTGGCGCCAGAACACCATCTTGATTAGTGGTACACTTCCCCTGCCCGCCAAGTAGCCTAACAATTAGCGCCTCTATATGTACGCAATGGGGAAATTCATTCTTTCGAACTCTATCGTGGTAGTCCAAGGAAAAGCATTCCGCACATAAATCCTGCGTGCAATGTACGCTTTGGAGACACGAAATTCCATGGCAAGCATCACCGGAACAAATTTCGGTGACCGGGAGCAACCTCTGCGCGATACTCAGGAAGGGTATCTTCGGCACATCGAAGCCGGACTCGTGCCAGCCGTGCAACCACATGCTTCGAAAATCAGGGTGTTGAAACTGATGAAGTCTATGAGTTATTGGAATCGGAGAACATAACTCCTATCACTCATCTATTATTTATCAGTCCGGCTTCGATGTGCCGAAGATACCCTTCCTAAGTTAGTGTCAATGCTCCCAAGAGCAGAACTAAGTAAGGGCTAAGTCTAAGCAAATCGGTTTCGTATCCGCCGATATCTGTAGCCCCGCTACAGAATCCTAGGGCAGGCCTTTCGGGTACGATGAGTACCCGAAATTCCGCAAGGTATATTTCCTGAAAACGAAGGATGAAACGATTCAGTGTATCTGACTGTAGTGATACTTGTCTTCGGGGACACACAGATGACACGAACTAGTATTTGATCGGCTTTATTGAGGTATTGTCTGTCATTCACTCTCGATGCATGCTCTCGATGTGTAGGCACTACGCTCTTCACACTCGAGTCCTGACCGTCTACCTCAACTTCCCACGTCGATAACGCTTGGCGCTGACAGCTACAGATCGCTCTCTCGAGCGTCTGACTCTGGCCCCCTCTAGCGGGATAAGTAATATACGCACGACATGACGATGTACGCAGTTCTTCAGAAATCTGACTGAAGAGCACATCAAACGTCTCCATACGGATGAAGGAACTGAATGCAAGAGTCAAGGGGTCGAAAAGATTCTAGCTGAAATCGGCGCAGAAGAAACCTTTTCAGGCGCATACACTGCCCAGCAGAACAGCTACGCCGGACGAGGGGACAGAACTGCTATGAAACTTGCAAGATCTGTCTTGATTGGTGCGGGACTAGAAAACATGAAGTTCCCTTCGGCTGAATGCGTAAATTCTTGCATAGATATCTTGAACACTGTGCTCACGCATGAAGAACTCTCGAAGTCTCCTCACTAAATATTTTATAAGCCCGGACTTTCATGCATCTGAAAATTGGCATAAATCCGCATAAAGCGCTTGAATTTGCACAATCTGCAGAAAACGCATAAATCCGCATATTCTGCATAAACCCGCATACGACGCATATCAAGATGGAGCATGACGCGAGATATCTCTTGACCATCTTCGAAAGTACATGTGCGACGGCGGGGAGTCCTCGGTCCAAAAAAGTCCGAGCACGTGGCGTTCACGTGGGACACGCGTCTGCGGTTGTGACGGAATGATATACAGTAAAACCCCGTTATAACGGACTCGGATATAACGGAAAATCGCCTATAACGGACTAATTTTCGGGTCCCGGCCGAGCCTATGGGACCTCCCATATAAAGCTACTCGGATATAGCGGACCCGGATAACGGACTCTCGCCTGTAGCGGACTGGTTCCCCGGCCCCAGTCCTATCTCGTCCTATGCAATTTGACTCGGTTATAACGGACCTGCTCGTACGGAGCGAAAATTCGGAGACGATCCTTTATCGAGCCTCCTGCAACGTTGCTCGTGGACGTGCGCGTCGCAGCGAGAGCCGAAGCGACGTTCACGTGGCCAACAGCTGCTGACTCAGCTGCTGCTGTTGCCGACGATGTCCTCAAAAGCGAAACGTTTGTGTCTCGATATCAAAACTAAACTTGAAATAATCGAAGAAATTACGAACGGTGTGAGTCAGGCAACAGTTTGCAGAAATCGTGGACTATCGAAGCAGTCTGTGAACACGATTTGGAAAAGTCGAGACAAGCTCCGAGACGCAAGTGACAGTTTAGTTCTTAGCCGGAAGAAGAAGATCAGATCCGCAGCCTACGACGACGTTGAGGAGGCCCTCTTGAAATGGCTCCAATGCGTAAGGTCACAGAACGTTCCTGTTGATGGGCCCTTATTGAGAAAGAAAGCCCTGAGCTTGGCGGGACAGCTCGGTAGGTTCTCCTTCGAGTGTAGCAATGGTTGGCTGGATCGGATGAAAGCCAGACACGAACTGGTTTTCCGCGATGTGTGCGGCGAGGGAGCTTCAGTAAATGAATCTATGGTTACAAAATGGTCTATTGAAAAACTCCCGACACTTCTCGCACCTTTCGCTCCTCGGAATGTATTCAATGCAGATGAGACGGGACTCTTCTACCGTCTCCTGCCGAACAAAACAATCTGTTTCAAGGGAGATCCGTGCGTCGGTGGTAAAAAAAGCAAGGAACGTTTGACAGTCATGGTCGCTGCGAACATGGATGGGTCAGAGAAGCTCCCCCTGCTGGTGATCGGCAAGTCTGGAAAACCTCGCTGTTTCAAGCACGTCAAGACTCTACCCACCGAATATACTTTCAACCGGAAGGCCTGGATGACGTCGCAAGTTTTGATAGACTGGTTGAAAAAGCTTGACACTCGGTTCAAGCGACAGCACCGAAAGATCTTAATGATAGTCGACAATTGCCCCTCACACCCTAGAGTACCGGACTTGGATTGTATCACACTGGCTTTTCTGCCGCCCAATGCCACCTCTCGCCTCCGGCCTTGCGATCAAGGCATTATCAGGAGTCTGAAGCTTGAATATCGTCGCCTGATCACCGATCGGTTTCTCGTTAGTGTAGAGAACAAGGTCGATTTCCAGGTCGACGTTTTGACCGCGATGCAAATGCTGGCAACAGCCTGGACTCTCGTTTCTAGAAGCACGATTGCCAACTGCTTCAGACATGCTGGTTTCTTGTACAGTATGTGTAGCGAGGCTGAGTCCGCGCCTCTCGACTACCTTAATGAGGATGAAGAAACGAATCAGGACTTTCTCGAATCTATGGATGAGCTCCAGTCGGAGGATCTGGTTGAATATGCTGCGATCGTAGATGGAGTCTGCACCCATGAAACCCCCACGGAAGCAAGCATTGTGAGAGAGATTATCAGAGAGAGAGACGCAGAGAGCGATTCGGAGGAAGATATCGAGGAAGAGGTTTTCGTCCCGCTCAACCTTCCAGATGCCTTTAAGGCGTTGGAAACGCTCCAAAAGTTCTTGTACACCGTCGACGATAGCTGTAGCGCACAGTCGCGACTTTCTAGTGTGGAAGCGTTCTTAAAAAATCATGTGGACAATGGGGGTAGACAACGTACAATCAAGGAGTTCTTCTGTAATAAAGAATGAGATCTTCTCCGTGATCAGACATTTCCAGACTTAATCGCTCGCGAATTCTGGAAATCGCTGCATTCGCAAGAGAACCCGGATATCCAGTAGCACCAGGGACGAGTCGGCGTCTCAAGAGTAATTCACGGGCTACAATGAGTTCCTTTGGGCTATTCGGAGACGATGTTCGGATATAGCGGAACCTCGGCTATAACGGACCAATTTCGGCGGCCCCTTGAAGTCCGTTATAACGGGGTTTTACTGTAAATCGTTTATTTGATCTTATCTTCAGCAGCAATGTTGTCTGAATGATGAGCTTATTCAAGAATCGTGAGTATTGCTCGGTGATGGCTGAAATAGGTGATATTTGTAAGAATTCCTGGGTACTGAATGTGTGGTGGAGATGAGATGTATAGTGGATTGACTGTTCGTGGTGGGTTGATCTGATTCCGAAATGAGATTTGTATGGAAATGTGAGTACATGAGGGTTGTCAGCTGTTCTTTGATATCGGGTTTCCTGATATCGCAATTGAAATCGCCACATATAATTAACACCTCGCCCGCGTCGAAGCTCCGTTTTGAATCGATGCTTCCTTTGAAGAACTCGTTGATAGCTGGAAGATTTGTGCCTGGCGTTATGTTTACGCAAACAACTGTCGTTGATTGGCCGTTGATTAGAGATTGACTGCTGCAGAAATCGCCGCAATCTTCTTGTGTCAATAGGGGTTGGAGAGAATTCCGGTGGCATGGTTTCCCTAATTGCTTCCGGTGTTGGTTGTTGGCGATTTCTTCATCGACTCCTACTCAGGGACGTTAATGGCGAACTCTGGTGTACAGCGGATAATGATGTGAGTCAGAGCACTATTTCATCGATGATTATCGTGAAATTAGGTTTCTGCTTCAGTTACTCGATGAAGTATCTTCTCACCAATACCCATGACGACTAAGATTACTCCGCGCTTCCGCATTCCATCATATGATAAAACTTGACTTCCTGGCTGCAAAAGAAGTGCTGCAAATCAAGACAGCATCGCTCGCTGAAAAGCTTCAGCATGAAACAGAGGCTCGCGAAGTAATCCTTGGTAGAGTCGAAGGGCATGTTTACCTCGTCAAGCTGAAATACTCGATGAAAGAATTTCAGGTGACAAGCCGATTCTCCATCATCGACTATTTCCGATACAAGTGAATGAGATCTTGAAACAGAAACGATTGAGAGTTCGAAAAGTCCTCTAATCACAGAACGAACTTCGACCGCTCGTCGAACTCTTGGAAAGTCACCTCATGGATGAGCCCCAACAATCGCAATGAAAGCAAACTACCGCAACAGCTGATCGAGGTAGATCAGCTACCGCCGCAGTTGATAATACGAGATCGGCTGTCACAAAAGCTGATAATACGAGATCGGCTGTCACAAAAGCTGATAATACGAGATCGGCTGTCACAACAGCTGATAAAGCGAAATCAGCTGAAATATATCCTGGAAATCACTGTCATGTCGAAATATTATGATTGGATCTCAATCGAAACCATTGAAGCATTCTTTAAAGCGATTCCTGATATACAATTTGGATGCGATTTCTCCAGTGATTGCGACGATGCGATGTTGAACGCAGAAACTACCGAAACCGATTCCTGATCGCTACGATCCGCCGATCGATGTGGGCGTCTGGAAAAGCGTCATATCAATTCGAGCCGTCCATTGCTCAGTTCTTCCCGAGCGAGCGCAAATCGAGCATCCTTGGGGAGTGGAGAAATGCATACAGTCAAACCCGCCTATAAGAGACCTCTCGGGGAATTGAAAACTGTCTCTTTTTCTATATCCGGATTCTCTAATATCCGGGGCGCGGTTTTCCGATGAGAAGACGTGAAACATCTCGTTCTCGTATGACTTGGATGACTATATCATTATTCTGTGGAGAGACGATCATTTTCAGAGCAATGATAGTGTCGAGCTAGTGTTAGGAATATAATGTTCGAATCGTCTACCAGGCCAGTGTGCGGAGATCACCAGAATCGTAAAAAAGTATAAAACGACTGATTTCCACCTCCTCGTATCGTGTGGCCTGACAGATATCAAGCAGGCAAAAAAAGACCAAACTGTACTGGGGGTGCATGACGGAATCTTGCGGCCACTAAGACTGCTGAAAGCCATGACGGGTCGAATTGAGACACTGTCATGGATTTCGATGATCCGGGATCCGCTATGTGGAATAACCCCTGGCGTGAATAAAGCCATTTATGAGGCGGAGGCGGTGCAGAAGGGAGCGATACGAATCCTGGATGCAAGAAATATGCCGCCAGAGGACTTTTCACGTAGGCCGATTTGAGACAATCCAGAGCTTTACGGTCTGACGGACAAAGGAGTGAAGGACCTAGAGGTCCTAGTAGCTCAACACCTAAGGGAGGCAACCGGTTTCTCTCCCCAAGAGATTGAGGAGAGGACGAAAGCCGGAGCCACCAGCTTCGAAAGAAGAAATGAGGAAATGCGGGATCGGCTTGGGACACAAATGCAGTCTCAAACCGATGAAGCTATGTTTGAATATATGGCACAAAATTTCCCGCCTCTGGGGATGACCACGGTAAGGTACAGATCCAAAGCGCGGAAAAGTACGGACGACTCAAATCGACCTGGGACATCCAGGGGGGAGGAGAGTCGGTGCCCAGAGGAGGACGAGACGAAAGAGCCGTCCGATTCACTCTCATAAGTCATAAGACACTCTCATAAGGTAGTAAACAGAGCCTTTATGTTTACACTGATGGATGCATTCCTCTTCGTCTGAGATAAGCGGGCGGTTGGAGAGGCGACGAAGTCTGCACAATCTAACCGCTATGTTGGCCGGGAAAATTTCCGTCGCTCGGCTGCTTGGGTTCAGAACGCCAGAGGCCGCGAGAAGTTGGCGACTTATTCTAAGATCGCCCCCACCCTCGGAGCTAACGGACTATGTACCTATCGTGGTGATAGGGCTGAGAAATATGAAATTATCTGCCGTGACTACGAAATAAGATTCGTTCGAAGTATGTCCGGGAGAGTCATATACATGAAGCATATCCGTAGGGTTCTGAAAAGGGAATGCTGCGAAACACAGAGCCTCTCAATGAGCGTTACGTTATCATTGGAATGGAGATGGCCGGAAAAACGCAAACTTCTTGACGATTCTAGATCTCCGACAGTAAACATTTATTATAGATCCTTTGCCTGAAAGCTGTCCGTGCCATGAGTCATGGGTATGACATGGTCGATTGGAATAAGGGCGAGATGGCTAGAAGCGTAATCGTGGTCTCCGAAGAGGTGATGCATCACGGGCGGGTCGACCTCGCGCTCAACTCGCTGTTCCTCCCTTGACCACCAATCTTCGACTTCGACCGGTAATGGTTCTGAGGTGGACTCCTCGTTCGGGTCCGTGAGAGCGTGTTGAACGGCGGCTGGAAAGGATACGATCCGAGTGTCTTCGATCCGATGAAGGGATATGACGTATGACCCTCCCGAACACATTTGAAACAACTCACATTTTGTGCTGTACTTCAAGAGATCTATTTACTGTCGCGGAGTGATAGATCGCCGCTCTGAACGGATCCAGGCGATGTTCGTCAGCTCACCGGCTCACCGTGCTTGCGGGTCCTCTTTTTCGGGCGGGACTGAATGTGCCTCACGCCCTCGGAGCTGATGTGGAAATTCACCGTACCGTCATGTGAGATCTCGCATAATGCGGCTGTGAATAGTTCGAGAATTTCCTCAGTGTGCTGCGTGGGTTGGAACGTGATGTGAGCTCTGGAGGAAAAGGTTAGGCTTGAGCAACGCATGAGAACAAGACAACCCTTACCCATGAGGCGCCAGACCGGCCCATTAGCGCCAAGTCTGCGCAGCAGAGCCGCGTTGCTGCTCTCCACGGCATTATTAGTTCTGCACGGATACCGGTAGGTGGAGAGCTCTTCCACAACTACGGTGTTCGACCAGTAGGATTCGATATAGTTCATCAGAGGGATCAACTGGAGCTCGACCTATGGTCGTCACCGGGGCCATTTTTGCCCCTCGGCAAGCTTACCCGTGCGCTCATCTGCCGAGCTTCATTCGCGAGCTCGTCGAAAACCGGTCGGATGCAAGCGGAGGGCAGGAGCGGGAGTGCGGTGAATCCCAGGATCGTCTTGAGGATATCACATGCCTGTCTGACTTCCCGACCGGGGCCAACTTGTGGTGCTCTGGCCCGCCGGATCATGGCCTGCGCGAAGTGAAATCTGCAGCCATGCAACCTGGCGTCGGGGAATTCCGCCCTGAACGCCCTGCGCATCGCTGCGTCGAAATCCCCCATATACGCTGATATGGTTCCTGAGATATTTTCTCTTATGATTCGAAACACATCCCGGTACGCCTCCGTGGTTGCGGACTTCATCAAAGCACACGCAACGATGCCGACCTACAAAATCAATCGCAGCGGATCAGACAGGTACGCTTGTGCCATGTTGTACGCAAGCATAGTGCAACATGGAATAACTTGCAAGGCTCAATATTCGGAGCCCCTCAGAAGCTTACTTTGAGCAGCTGTGTCTCTCACATAGCCGTTCGATAGCCCGTGAACAGTGAAGACTTGGCGACATAGTTGTCGGGGAGCGGTTTTGTAAGTAGCGTCAGCGAGCACCATCGAGGCTTGGAACAAGAGATTCAGTTGTCGTCGAGATGTCAGGAGGATGCTGTCGGAGTTTGGACACAAGAAGCTTAAAATTCGCTCTCCGTCGAACGAGCAGGTATATCCAGGCAGATTCCGAGTCTCGATGACACTATGCAGCTCCTCCGAAGTCTTTACTTTCGGCGGCCTCGTCGCGGCCATTTGGCGTCACGCGGTGCATATGTGCCTTCTCGGCACAAGCTGCATGGCAACCGGCACCTCAAGTCTGGAATGGAGGTGAACGTACATTTTCTATCAATTTACGGAGTCGCGATCTCAGGTGGGGCGGGAGAGCGTTACCAGTCTGGAAAATCGAGTAACTATTTCACCTCCTCCGCTCCGCCATCAAGGCGGCCATCG